ACCTTCATGCTATGGAATTAGATGAATCTTTGCAAATATCACAGAGACCACATTATTTGAAATGATGGGCTGAAGAACTGACATCAGCTTTTGAGTTCAATGCATACAAAACAAAGCTGCCTTATTCATAGATCTTTCCAACTTTTCCAGGTATCTGATTACACATCACCCTGGGAAAGTTGTTAAAAGAGTTTTTATCTTTTTATAGCCTTCTTCCTCAGGCAACTTTTAACTACAAGTTGGATCTGTACCCAGACCTTTTTACTGGTCTCACCCCATCATCATCATCTTTTACTTTAAACATGACTGTTAACTTTACAAAGAACAGCATTGAATTCTGCACCCCTGCTCCGGCTCCCTCTCTTTTCCGCCCAACAAAACTCAGAGTAGTGTATAAAACTTGTCATTTATGGCATGCAAAAATACCTATTTTAATTGTTGGTAGTAGCTGGTTATTCACATTTCATTGGGAAAAGTTCATTTGTTTTAGAAGTATACTGCTTTAGCATTAAAAAAATTATTTTACTGAAAACTGGATAGGAGTCAAAATGTGTTCTTAAGTTTCTTCAGTATTTTTCTCAAATTCCTGCTTTAACTTTTTCTTACGTGACTAAGGATGTAACATTAAAAATAAATAAATACAAGTTAGAGTTTAGGAACAATAGGTAAAAGGATTAAACTGAGGTTAATTTCCATAGTTGAAAATTTCTTCAGTATTTTTCTGAAATTCCTGCTTTAACTTTTTCTTAAGTGACTAAGGATGTAACATTAAAAATAAATAAATAAAAGTTAGAGTTTAGGAACAATAGGTAAAAGGATTAAACTGAGGTTAATTTCCATAGTTGAAATTAACAACGAAAGCTCATCCATTCTGGTGTAAATCACATGCTTTCTCTTACCATCTGTTTATCTTATTCAGATTAAAAGCTAATAGTGAGAAGGCTCAATCTTTTCTTTGACCTCACAGCATTCTGTAATCATTGAGTGATTAATGACATAATAAAAAAACTCTTTAGAATTGGATATATAGTTTCTCATTATTTTCCCTCAAAAAAACTCTAAAATGAGAGATAATTATCATATTTTAAAAATATCATATAAATGTCATGGAGACTCTTCTTCTTGGGCCATAATTTGATTCAGTTCATAAAATGAAATCAGGGATTCACAAATTGCAAATTGTAACACATTCCAATTCCCCTCTTTTTACTCCTTGTTTTATTAAAAAAAACCTGATTTTCTTTTCTTTTTTTTTCATAGCATGTAATGCAACCAAATGAAGACTCAAAGTAAATGGTATCTTATCTTCAGGAATTAAGTGTGAATGATTCAGTTTCTAGTGTGAAAGCTTTTGAAATAGAAATGCCAAGTAGATTCCCTACATACAAGGTCCCAAAGCTTAGAGTCAATATCCAATGAAATGTAAAGATTGTAAAGAATGGCTCTAGAGAACGAAGACTGATGAATTTATTACCAAGAAAAAACCTTCTGGATCAAGGCAGATTTTTGTGGGAGTGAAATTTAAAATGGTTCATCTCCTTGGTTTAAAATTCAGATTAAGTTTTAATGAAATAGATTCTTGGCATTCTTTTTTCTTTTTTGTTTCTTTTCTTTTTTTCTTTTAAACTAAGAATGACTCACATTTCATTTATGTACAACTGACTGTTGTGAGGGAAGACCCAGTTCGTTTTCCTTCCTGCATGAGATAGGGAGAGGAGGTGGCGTAGGTGAGGTGACCCTATACCTGTGGGCATCTGTGGGCATCTGTGACCTAACCTGTCCCTGCTCCTCCCCACACACTGGTAAGACTCACACTGGAGATGACTGCAGCTCAGCAAGATGATCCTCTGAGATTCCCCCAAGGAAGAAAGAAGGGCACAACAAAGGTGGGAGGAGGAACAAGCCCTCCTCCCTGGGCCTGCAGAAGGAGTGACAAATATTTTCCCCAGCTTATTGCTTTATTTCTTTGCATTCTAATTTTATGAATGTTTGATCTGAATGTTTTTAAGTTTTATCTCTTGAAATACATTTATAACTTTATTCAAAATTTCTACCATTCCTTTTAAGTTCATGGGTCTTCCTTTTCCTGAGATTGAAAATATATCAGTCTGTTTTCTTCCACTATATGGTTTGAGTATTAACAGGCTTGAGTAAAGTGGTTAAGAACATAGACTACCTACATTTGATTACTGGCTTCGACACTTAGCAGCCATGTGTACTTAACCTTTTTCGACCTCAGCTTTTCATTCTGTAAAATGGGGATAATTAAAGCACCTACCACAGTTAAATAAAATAATTTTTTTTTCCTTTTTGTCTTTTTTCGTGTCTGGCAACGGATCGCAACCCTCAGTGTCGCTCCCGTACCGGACTGGGACCGGCAATGGGATCACAACCCTCGGTGTTGCGCCCGTACCTCACTCAGCCAGTGAGCGGCCGGTCTGTATGTGGGATCCGAACCCTTGGCGGGAGCGCCGCTGCACTCTCAAGCGGCGCACTGTAGCAGTGCGCCACTGGGCCGGCCCAAATAAAATAATTTTTATAAAGTATTTTTAACAGGGCCTCGTACTTACCAATACCAAAGAGTAATTACAAATGTTATTGATTTATGAGGTTACTTAAAAAAAGCTTGTAGAAAGATTTGTATTATTTTTTAATTGTATTTTTCCATTAACTTTTTGAAGTATTCTCATCTGGCAGAAGACTTGGACATGCTTTCTTTCCGAGATGGCTAAACAGCACTATTTATTGATGAATCTTTCCTTTCTCCATTCTATTCAAAGTGATTTTAGCTTACATTACGTTCTTGTGGACTCCAATGCTTGTTTTTGGTTCTCCCATCGATTTGGTAGTGTGTTCATGGGTATGTACCACATTGTTTTATTAAACACTGTAGCTTTATAACATTTAAAAATACCTCATAGGAAGAATATGTGTGTAGAATACATTTTTTTTTCAAAATGTCCTAATTACAGTCAGACTTCCACATCTGCAGTTCTGCATCGAACCAACATTGGAATGAAAATATTTAAGAAAAAAATACAATAAAAAGTAATACAATGAAGAAAACAAAGTATAACAACTTTTTACATAGCATTTACATTGTATTTAATATTATAATTAGGTTACTCATATATGCACATATGACACCATTTTATATCAGAGATTTTAGTATCTGTGGGCTCCTGGAACTAATTCCCCATGAGTACCAAGAGAGGACTGTATTTCCTCATTTCTTTTCCTTACATGGATTTTAGAGTTATATTACAATTGAGAATTTCATCTGGACATTGCAATGAGACTACACAGCTACATTTCTAAATACATAGGTTGATAAATACAGGAAAAATTATACTTGTTTTAGCAATGTAATTGATACAATTTTAAGCCTTTAATTTTTAGATAATAAAACACTTTGGATGAAAGAAGAAATAATGTTGTTGGGATGCTGGGAATTGGAACATTGGAGTGAGTGAGAATTTACTAGTGAATCAAATCCAGATTATAAATGCTTACTCAACTTTTTAAGGAAATGGCCACAAGTACCATAATCTACTACTTAGTCAAGTAGAAATTACAAACAGACCACCTATAGTCAGTGTTTTTAAGCAGAAGCCCTTAGCATCTGAGATGATATATAAGTGACCTAAATAGACATTAGGTTTTCCTACAAAACACTGAGAATCCTGCTTATAGATGATGAGATTATTTCTGGTCTTTTTGTTTACTATTATACTGGGAATATTTTCATCAACAATATTACTGCATTTTAAACTACTAATGCAAGTGACCTAAATAGACATTAGGTTTTCCTACAAAACACTGAGAATCCTGCTTATAGATGATGAGATTATTTCTGGTCTTTGTGTTTACTATTATACTGGGAATATTTTCATCAACAATATTACTGCATTTTAAACTACTAATGGAATTATTTTTTGTGTTTTAATTTCAGCAATAAACTCATTTTTAAATAACAATAGTAAACTTATTTGTGTTTCACAGTTATTATAGTCATAAATTTATAGCCAGGAGATCATTAGAATTTTTAACTACCAATTAGTGAGCATTTTTATGTTTAAACAATAACAGATTTGGTCCCCAAATTAATTATAAATGAAAAAATAAGAGGATATCTGTAAATACTTAAATGTTTTTGAAGATAGTGGGCCTTTTATTTCTATGATGATGGGACAGGTTCTCTGATAAAGTGATTGTCAGGATATGAGTAAGAAAAAAATGGAAACCTCTTCCAAATTGGATGTAAGCCAATTAAATAGGATATTGCATACCAATTGCATAAGATTATAAATATAAAAGAGCACCACAGAATATGTTATAAAGTCCCAAATTTCATTCTTTATAATTCCTGCTATGAAAATTAGAAGGCAATGAAAATACCATCTAGAAATCCAGAGAATTCAGAAGGGCTTCTTTACAGAATTCTTCACGGTCATGTGTGAGGATTCTGGAAAGACTTAGAAATACTTGATGGATTTTTCAGAATTAGATAAAGTGATACATCTGTTGTTGACCTCTTTTTTAAAATTATGAAACATTTCATGCATTCAAGAAAGCATGGAGAAGAAGGTAACAATATTGATAACTCATCACTTAAGTAATCAAGCACTACAAGTATAATCAAACAGTATCTTTACATTTCAGGTGATAAATTTAACAGTTGAAAATACAGGATTTGCATGTCCATAGTCTCCTTTTTACAACGTTTATTCCATCTAATATGTTCATTTTTCATTTGTTGCCCTAGGGGTGCCAAATGCATATTACTTGCAAAAGGCTCTAGGTACATGTAGCCTGAGTCAAAGATGGCTATTTAATAATCAGTAAATGTGTAAGACAATTCCACAGTAAAGACAAGACTGTTAATGTTTAAATTCACTTGAAACTGATTAACAAGTGTCCTGGGCACCAATTGTCTTGGCTTTTCTTTTTTGAGAAAAATGATTTTCCAAACCCCCCAAAAGAGCAGAGGGACATGTTACCTGTCGACGCTAAGAGCACAGAGATTGAGGACGGTGATCCCCACAGAGGACTTCTGCAAAAAGGGGAACAGCTTGCAAAGAAATACGCCAAAGTCATTGTGATCAAAAGGCCAGTGCCCAGCCAGCAGCTGAAAAAAGGAGACAGGGTGGTAAGAAATGGTAGAACTGACATGGAATACATAAGCACTTAAATTTCTAGTAATGTGCCCCAGCTTCTAAATGTTATTATTCATTGCGCTTTCCAGTTACACTGTAGCAACAGTATTACTATTGTTACTTTTTCTTTCATATTTTAAAGCCTCAGCAATTTTTGGTCTGGAAAGATATGGAGAACATAATAATATATATTATCATGTATTATATTATATATTAAATGAATATTTTATAATTATAATATATAATATGATATATTTAATATTTCAATACACTATACTACAATACTATACGCTATACAATGTATATGTCATGTATAATATAATAACAAAACAGATAAATCTGTGATCTCCTATGAAGTAGTCACACTGCCTACTTTTCAAGGGGGAGCAAAAGTTTGGGGTTTGGGGTGACGTCTTAACTGAGAAGCAGGCAGTGGTTTCTTATCAGTCCTTACTAAACCATGAGTAAAGCAAGTCATTTAAGCTAGTGGCATTGGAAGATTATATTATCCCGGGACAAGTAGCCAAAACAATGAATCAGAGGTTATGGAGAATACTGGAAATTGGTCAACAGACATAAAGAATGATTGCGTATTACGATGATGAATAAGCTAACTATACTGATCTAATCATCACACATTCTACACAATTATTGAAAATCAACGTTGTACCCCACATGTATGTATAAAAAAAAAAGAAAAAAATAAAATTTCAAACATTAAAAAAAAGGAAAAATGAAGTGGTTTAATAGGTATTGATTTCGCCAGCTGGTTAACACCTAAAGCCACTTTGAATTTACCTTTTCCTTTGTGCTTAAAAGGTTGACTGTTCTTCAGTAGATGTAGTGTACGTGGCTTTTCTCTGTTTAGACTCAAACTTCCTCTTATCATACAGAAAAATGTGGTTACAATGACCTGTTTGTAGCATTTGCAGGGAAATATGTTATCCCATGTTGACAGTTTGAAATCTTGATTTCAAGGCAAGGGTGGACACCCTATAGTGGCTGTGGTAAGTAGCAGTAACATGATAGCTAACAGAGTCCCCTGTGAGTGGCTGATACTTGTCTAACTGTGAGCATGGGCTAAATGGCAGCTCAGCTACCCAAAAAGGGGAAGAAAGTCTCTGCCAAATATACGATGTCTTTTCAAGAGTAAAAATGGTATTGATTTCCTTTCGAATTTTTGCTTAGTGACTCAGAACTTGAATTTACTTCACTCAATGGCAAACAGTAGCCTACTAACTTGACATATTTGCCTTTTCTTCTTCTTTTTTTTGCAAAGTGTATTTTGCCATAGTAACTCAAAGTTGAGCTTTGAATTTCTGTTCTACCATTTCTAAAAGATTATTTGAAGTTTAATTTCATGGTCATTGTGGTCATTGACACGAGTCCTGTGAGAGAGGCTGGGAAACCAGTACCCCATAGACACAAAATCAGAACTTATGCATTTTGAGAATTTAGTAACATAGGGCAATCTATCATTCTATTGTTATGACTAAGACTCTACATGACTTAATTTCAGACGTTTTACCTTTTTAGTTTTCAAACTTGTTTCCTTTTCTTTTAAATAGTTACCTAAAAGGACCCCTCCTTCAATTCAACCCTGCCTCTGGTCTTTTCTTCATCTCACTATGACCAGTCTTGATCTATGTCTTAGAATTTCCACATAAGCTTTTGTCCAAGGACAACCACAGAGCTCTTCACAGAAACACTGCCCTAAACTCTGACAGTTTTCATGAAGCTAACAAGCATACACAAGTACAAAAGAAGGGGGCATCATGAAGGCAAACAGTAGCCAACTTGTTTTTCTCTTCTTTAGATGAGGCATTTTGGGGCTTCTGAAAGACTGTTGGGAATGCATGCTTTCTGTTAGTTACTAGTGTTTAACTTTTAAAATATAATATGTAAAATGGTAAAAATTAAGCTGTGTAAAAATTTATATAATAAAAAGTAAGTCTCCCTTACAATTGAGGCCCCTAAACTCCCTGACCAAAGGCAACCACTGTTAATTGCTAAGTGCATTTTTTCCAGAAAACTTCCTATCTATATAAAAGCATATGCCTTTTTCTTAAAAAAACAAAAAACAAAAAAAACAAAAAAAAACAAGCAGGAATGTATGGCAATAATACCTCTTAATAGTCTATTATAATCTCTTTTTCCTAATGTAATTTTCTGGTAAGCAATTCTACCGTCTAATTAAAAAGTTTTGATTTTTAAAAGCATGTTGATGCAACAATTTAGATTGGGATAGGAATAGATAAGTAACTATTTAGTATAACAACTAGACCATAGTTGATTTCATTAATATTAACAAGCTACTATCAGTTCAATGAAGGAAAAGCCAAACTAGTCTGACAAACCGATAAGTAAGATCAGTTCAAAGGGTTAGTCTGGTACCGTGGAGCAGTTATAACTTATTTTAGACACAAAAGGGTTTATGCTATGTAACCCTCATATTTATAACTGTCAAGGACATCTCACAGAACTTAGCACATAGTGACTCCAATTCACTAATATAGGGCAATATTTTAATATTTTGAAATGAGAGAATACCAATTTGGCCCTGAAAATACATTCACCTTGTAATTTATTTTCTATGTAAAAGTTGTTTATCTGTGTCCCAAAGTAGTATTCCCACTCTTTATGTTGAAAGAAACAATGCACATGCCATCTAGTTGCCTGAGGACGTGGGAGAATACTGTTCTCTGGGAGAGTTTAGGTTCAACAGGGTCTGCCACAAACTCTTTGCTCAGAGACGTCTTGCTTTGGGCTTGTGAGACTACTGGGCTTCTTGAGAGCTGCAGAGCAGGCACTTGGAGATGATGCATGTTCCGTGGACTAAATGCACAGCATGTTCTCCCCAAATCAACTGCAGAAAGAATCACTCAGACAACAAGGACAATTTATGCTGAGCATGGATTTTAATGAAGGACACTTGGCTTTTCTGTAGCTGAGGGGATTTTTCTACACTTGAAATATAAAGTTTCTGATCACCATCTGAAAACTAAAGCACTTCTAAACCAGCACGAATTAATGTAGAAATTCTTTATTCATGTGGCTGATTTGGATTGTGTCAAAATCAACACGATAAAATTGACAGGCTGCATTTTTTAACCTGTCAAAACAGATTTACTTAAGGACTCGTACACTGGTAAGCACCCTGTTTTTAGAATGGCTAGTTCCGAAAGCAGGATCTATCTACATCTTCCACTATATTTAGTACAAAGCAAAATCTCACTTGCTTGGGACCTTTTAGGTATATGCAATGTACCCGTTTATGTCAATTGCTTTCTGGAACACACCTGACAACTAGAAAATAAGCAAAAATGTAAGGAGCCAAGTAGTTGATGTGAAATTTATGCCCTAAAGCTCACGTACTTTACTCATAGGCAAACTGCCTTAGCCTTCACAGGTTAATTTATTCTTACTTTACACCCAATGCTATAAAGCTTAGCTTTTAATTTTCTTTAACCCATTGCTCATCCAAAGCTGCTCATTAATAGGAACTCTCCCAAGTAATAGTTCCCAGTCTTGGCTATATATTAGAATTATTTAGGGAACTCTTAAAAATCCCAGTGCCCAGGCCATGACCTGAGACCAGTGCTTGTCAACCAGGGGTAATTTTACCCCCACCCTCCACCAGGGAACACTTGACAGTGTCTGAGATATTTTTGGTCTTTACAGCTGAGGGTGTGTGTTCTACTGGCATGTAGGGGTAGAGGCTTATGCTGCTGCTAAGCATCTTGCAATGCACAAGGACAGACCCCCTAACAAATAATCATCCGGTCCAAAATGTCAATAGTGCTGAGGTTGAAAAACCCTATCCAAGACCAATTAAATCAGAATCTTGGGACTTGTGACACAAGCATCATTAGTTTTTAAAACTTCCCAGGTAATGCCAATGTACAGCCAAGGCTGTGAATCATCCTCTGCAGCAGTGATTCTCAAGATTTAGCAGCATCAGAATCTCCTGGAGGTCTCATTGAAACAGATCACTGGGCTTCATTCCCAGAGTTTCTGATTCAGTAGATCTGGGGTGGGGCCTGAGAATTTATATTTCTAACAAGTTCCTAAGTGATGTAGATGCTGCTGGTCCATCAACCACATTTTGAGAACCACTACTTTAGAGGTACAATGGTTAGCAGAAATGACAGCTGACAGCCAAATGGTACAGGAGGAGCAGAAAAAAGTATGCAATACAGTCATAAGAAATAAAAAACCTTAATAGTTTGGGGCCATGTAATCTGAATCCCATTACTCTTGCACTCCAGTAATCCCTACAGGCATCAGTACATACAAGTACAGTTCAATAATAGGTGCTCTAATGTCCCGTGCCTCACCAGCTTGGCACTACAAACTCAGGCAGTTCTTCCCCCATATTCAAGTTGGGTTGTAAACTTATAAGACTTAGGTTCAAGTGCAAATTGAGCTGTTGCTGACTGTGTGACCTTTGGTAAGCCCCTTACCCTCTGTTTCTGTATTAAGTGGGGGTGGTTCTCATGCCTGCCACAATGGAACATTTGGAAGGCTCAAACAGGAATGAATGAAAGAATTCTGCAATCTGAATATGCACCACACAAATGTTCGTTATTTTAAATTGCTATAATTTGTAATCATAAACTTAAACGTACCATTTATGTACGACTTAATAAAAAGAAGGATTATATAAACAAATTTATCCTTTACTCATTCCAGATGTTAATATTCCCTGCTACTTAATCCCATTATTTGGACATTATTTTTGTTATTGTCATGGTATCTTAAAATGGTACAAATAAAACTAGTGGCACATTTTTCTCTGTGCTAATTTTCCTTCCTCCCCATCCAGCGAGGGTGAGGAATTCTCTTCCTCCCCTTCGTCTCACTCCACCCATCCTAGACAGGAATGAGGGACTTATGACTACAGTCTGTACTAGTAGAAAACCTCAGAGCAAATAAAATGCCTCTTCCCGTCAGCTTGAATTATCACAGGGTC